TCTACAATATAACAATAAATTGATTGATGTGCAGAAGTTATTCATCGGTATACTGTGTGAAAACACACATGAAAACATGTGGTGGCCAAAAAAATTCAATGTATTTTGAAGTGATTAGGACAAACGTTACCCCGCTTTTGTCAATTTCCGGCCGACATACGTAAATTATTTTTTTATTTTTTTTTTCTCGTAATGAGATAATTAAATATATATATATATATATATTGAATTTTAGATAATTAATTATTGTATTTAAATAAATTAATTATTATATATTTTATAATTATTTAATTTATAATCAATTTGTGGTAAATTTGAATTAATTATATGTAAATTTTAATTTATTTATTTTATAGGAATTCAAAAAGGGTAGAATTTTTTCAATAATAATAATAATAATAATAATAATAATAGGAAACAGATAATTTCAAACAAAGACATAATTATTTTATAAAAAAAGTTGCGAAATGTCATTTATATACTACCACATATATATTATCCAAAATATAGATTCCAAATTGAGTTGATGCACTTTGGTCAAAATTGCTGAGTCATTAAAATTTGAAAATATGTCCTACCACATTGAAATTTTCAAGGCTTGATTTTAGCATCAAAGTTGGGGCATCGTCGTGCGGTGGATGGGGCACAGGCCTGACTGTTGGATTTATTGAAGCTGTTGCTGTTAGAAAATAGCAGTATATTTTCCATCTTCATGCAGTTTCTTTTCTTGCTTTATTTTCTAATCGCGTTTTACTTATCTAAAACGCGTTTGTATTTCTTTTGGTTTAATTCCTGCACGTGTCACCTTCTATTAGCTTAACACGTGCCAATTTGTAATAGGGTATTATGGGACTTGGGTATTAATATGTGATTGATGCCCTTCATCTTCATTAATTGAAAATTACAGAGCTTTGAGCTCAGATAAAAATGGCGTCCACATGATTTACATTTTCGTTCAAAATACACAAAATAGTATCGACTGCTTGTCTCTACATGGTATCCAGAGCAGCGTAGAAAATGGCACACAACAACAACGAACAAAATCGAGAGATTGTTGGAAGAGGCATTTACACTCGGGATATAGATCCGCTTTCGCTTCATGGATCTGACAACCCTGGCATGGGTCTCGTCTCCAATCAACTCACTGGATCTAATTACCTGCATTGGAGCCGCGCGATGAAGCTGGCTCTCAGTGCGAAATCGAAGCTTGGATTTGTCAATGGCACAATGGAGATTCCAGAACAAGGATCTGAGGAATACAACCAGTATTTGAAGGTAGATTCTATGGTTATCTCTTGGCTATTGAACTCTATTTCAAAGGGCATTGTAGAAGCCTTTACTTATGTGAAAAATGCTCAACAATTGTGGGATGAGCTAGCTGAACGATATGGTGAAACTAATGGCCCTCTGAGATATCAATTACAAAAGGAAATTGCGAATTTTGCTCAGGGAAACCTCACAGTCACTGCTTACTACACCAAATTGAAATGTTTATGGGATGAGTACTCCTGCTTAGTTTCCATTCCTGAATGTGTGTGGATCTGGAAAGAAGTTTTGTGAAATTGATATGGAAATTAAGTTAATGCAGTTTCTCATGGGTCTTAATGAGGTTTTTAAACTAGTGAAAAACCAAATTTTACTGTTTGAGCCACTACCTAGCATAAATAGGGCCTACTCAATGATCTTGAAAGTTGAAAGGCAAAAAAAATGTGGGTATAACAATATCTGCACAGTCTGAGAACTCAGCTATGATGGCAAAAGGAAGTTTTGGGAGAGGAGGTGGTGGCAGAACACAGACATTTGGTATGGGAAATGGAGGAAGGGGATTTAATGTACAGAACTATAATAGTGGAAGGGGGAGAGCAGCACCAAGACTGTCCAAAGAAGAAAGGGCAAAGCTATACTGTACTCACTGTGGTTATAATGGGCATGAGGTGCAAGGTTGCTTTAAACTAAATGGCTATCCGGATTGGTTCAAGGAATTAAGAGAACAAAGGCAAAGTCAAAGTGTAAACATGGCAGATAATGATGATTCTTCAAGAGGTGATTCAGAAGGGAAATCTCAGCACAGTGACACCCTACCTGACATAAGTAGCTTGATCCAAAAGGAAATAGCAAAGTATATGGCAGGACAGAGGGATGCTGAAACCAACACCTATTCACACTTTGTGGAATATTCAAGTGACAAAGAAGACTATGCCTTTTCTTTGGTTGGGAAAATAAATAAGAGCAGTTGGATTGTTGATACAGGTGCCAGCAAGCATATTTGCTGTGAGGAAGGTTTGATGACTAAGAGACACTTCACACAAACTCTTGTAATTGTGAATCTACCAGATGGTTCAAAGGTGAAGGTAACACAGGTTGGTGTGTAACAACAAATTTTATGAAAAACATAAAATTTCTGTACAACTTGAATATATTTCGATCAAACGATATGCAGGTACAATCTCTATTTATCTCCTCTGATTCTTCTCTTCAATGGATTTGGGTTTGAGATCTTTAAAGATGGATTTGGCGATTGAACCTCCTTCGGGCTTGCTCTTGAATTTCTCTAACATTAACTTGGGGGTCGAATGACTTATTCCCGTATTAAATGTTAAGCTTTGACTTGATTGAAGAAGCCTTCTTGGAGGACTTGATTCTTTGATCTTTTGAAAGATGGACTTTGCCTTGAATACGTTGACTCGAGGGCTTGATAGCTTTTTCCCGGATCAAACGCTATTTGGTTGAACTTCTCAACGAACGCGGCTTGAATGTCGCTTGAACGTCGTTGATATTCTTTTACTGACTTGAGAGGAGTAGAAGTCGTCTCTTTACTTCTTGGGGAAGAGTCGCCGCCTCTTTTTCTTCTTCTTGGCCTTCTTCTTCATTGGATGGACTTCGGACGGTTCTTCAAGAACTTCTTCAAATCTTCAAGAGGATTCTTGAGAGCGCTTGAATTTGAAACTTTGATTTTTGAGATGTGTTTTGAGGTGTTTGAGGTGTTTGAGGTGTTGAGTAGAGCCCTATTTATAGGTGTAGGAGAGAGAGCCTTGGAAAAGAAGACTTCAATTTGATTGGTCCTTTATGATTTGACATAATCTCTTTCCTTATCCTAAGATTTGATATAATCTCTTTCCTTATCCTAAGATTTGACTTGGTGGACAAGAAACAATTACTTTATTAATTAAATATCTTATTTATCTTGGATTTATGTCCCAAAATAAATAAAGACATTAATTAATAAAATATTAAAATTTCGATGTCTACATGGTGAAATACAATTCAATAACCACATTGTGCTTAAAGATGTCTTGTTGATACCAGAGTTTAAGTACAACCTCTTGTCTGTGGGGTAATTAGTAGAAGAAAATGGGATGAGTTTTGTGTTTACTGACAAGGATTGCAAGTTAAGGAATATTAAGACAAACTCAACTGTGGCACTTGGGAGAGCAGTGGCAGGTCTCTATGTGATTGAAGCACAAGATATATTTGCAAATGCTGTGAACAAGGAAATCACTCAAAATGAGGATATACTTCTGTGGCATCAGAGATTGGGACATAGTTCTACACACTGTTTAAGACATCTCCATTTTTTGAAGAATAGTCACACATCTCAGGAAATACATCCCTGTGACATTTGCCACAGATCAAAGCAAAGCAGACTACCTTTTCCTCTTAGTCAGATTCAAAGCAAACACAAATTTGAGTTGCTTCATGTGGATGTCTGGGGTCCACACCTTGAGGAGTCTGTGCTTAATGTTTCCTACATGTTAACCATTGTTGATGATCTTACAAGAGCCACCTGGATTTATCTGGTTAAATATAAAAGTGAAACTTATATTCACTTGAAGTCATTTCTGAAAATGGTGGAAGTGCAGTTTGGAACCAAAGTGAAACAGATTAGAAGTGATAATGGGAGTGAATTCATAAATAAGGACATGGATATGTTGTTGAAAGAAAATGGGATTCTACACCAAAGGACCTGCCCCTACACACCACAGCAAAATGGGGTGGTGGAGAGGAAACACAGGCCTATTCTAGAGGTGGCCAGATCAATATCATTCCAATCAAAGCTGAAAAGAGAACTTTGGCCATACAGTCTACTTGCTGCAGTACAAATTATAAACACCTTGCCCAGTGAGAAACTAGGCTGGAAGAGTCCTTATGAGCTATTGCATGGAGTTTTACCAGCTTATTACATGTTCAAGATTTTTGGATGTCTATGTTATGCAAGCAAACTTGGAGGACATAAGAAGAAGTTTGATGAGAGAGCTATACCTTGTGTATTCTTAGGGTATGTCTCAGGTGTTAAAGGGTACAAAGTTTATAACATTGAAACAAAGGAGGTTTTTGTCAGCAGAGATGTGATTTTCTATGAGCACAAATTCCCTTTCATTGACAATTCAACACTTGAAGTTCAACCAGTCATTCCTGTGCCACTTTTAGATGATACAGAAGCAATGGAGGAAGAGTCACAGGACATAAGTAAGTCAGACACAGAAACAACCACTGCAAATGAAGAAAACCTTGGCAGAGGACATAGAACTAAGAAACCACCTTCATGGATGACAGATTATGTGGTGGATATTCCAACACTTGAAGAAGTGCAACTGTTCTTATCTGAAGTTGACAAAACAGCCACAGAACCTCTATTTTATGAGCAAGCCATTGTTGATCAGAGATGGGTGGATGCAATGCACAAAGAACTGGAAGCTTTGGATTCAAACAACACCTGGATTCTCACTAAACTGCCACATGGAAAGAGAGTTATTGGCTCCAAATGGGTTTATAAAATCAAGAAAAACCCAGATGGTACTGTTGACAAGTTTAAAGCTAGACTTGTAGCAAAAGGATTTTTGCAAAGAGAAGGAGTGGATTTTCTTGATAGTTTTTCACCTGTGGCCAAACTAGTGTCAGTAAGGTTGATCATAGCCTTATCTACACAGCACAGATGGGAATTACATCATATAGACATCAACAATGCTTTTTTGCATGGGTTTCTGGAAGAAGAAGTGTACATGGCACCTCCAAAAGGATATGTGAAGGCCAAAAGGGATGAAGTGTGTTTACTAAAAAGGAGTCTATATGAGCTGAAGCAAGCTAGTAGACAATGGAACATTGAGTTTTCTGACAAACTCACTTCTTATGGTTTTACTCAATCTTCACATGATCACTGCTTGTTCTTTAAAGGATCAGGTGCAAATTTGCTCATTCTACTCATTTATGTAGATGATGTGCTTATAACTGGTGGTTCCCTCATAGCCATACAACACCTGAAAGCTTATCTTGATGCACTCTTCACCATTAAAGATCTGGGACAAGCAAAATACTTCCTGGGATTGGAAATACACAAAACAGCTGATGGCACATTTCTCAGTCAAAGGAAATATATCCTTGACATAGTTGCTGATTTGGGATTAACAGACAGCAAAGCAGTTGTTACACCCTTACCACAAGGAATTAATCTCTCCTCTTTAGAGTCTGAGCCCTTTAATCAACCTGAGAGTTACAGGAGACTTGTGGGAAGATTACTATATCTAAACCTTTCAAGAGCTGACCTCTCTTATGCTATTCAACAGTTAAGTCAGTTCATACAGGCACCATCACAGTCTCATTGGAATGCTGCCATCCATTTGGTGAAATATCTCAATGGCACACCTGACTTAGGATTATACTACACTGCTACTCCATCACTAGTTTTAGAGGCTTTTTCAGACGCAGACTGGGGCAGATGCACTCTCACTAGAAAGTCCCTCACTGGCTACTGCATTTTCTTGGGACAAGCTCTTATCTCCTGGAAAACTAAGAAACAAAAGACGGTGTCTCGTTCCTCAGCCGAGGCAGAATATAGGTCAATGGCAAGTACGGTTTGCGAGCTGCAGTGGCTCTCTTTTCTGGCCCGGGATTTATCTATTCACATTGTTACTCCCATTTCTCTTTGGTGTGACAATCATGCGGCTTTACATATTACGGCTAATCCGGTCTTCCACGAGCGCACGAAGCATCTTGACATTGATTGCCATGTGGTTCGCAACAAATACAAAGAAGGGTTCATATCTCCCAAGTATGTCATGTCTTCACTTCAGCCGGCAGATATCTTCACCAAATCTTTGGTCGTGCTGATTTTCAGAGGTTCATCTTCAAGCTAGGAATGCGCATCCATGGCCACATTCCCGCTTGAGGGGGGGTGTTGGATTTATTGAAGCTGTTGCTGTTAGAAAATAGCAGTATATTTTCCATCTTCATGCAGTTTCTTTTCTTGCTTTATTTTCTAATCGCGTTTCACTTATCTAAAACGCGTTTGTATTTCTTTTGGTTTAATTCCTGCACGTGTCACCTTCTATTAGCTTAACACGTTCAAAATACACAAAATAGTATCGACTGCTTGTCTCTACACTGACCAAAGTGCAGGGAGTGTAGTAGTGTTCGGGCCATATAAGAGATGAGGAACCGTGAATAGACTGTGGACATACGGCATGTCTATCGTGAATCAAACTTTTTGGTTGACTATCTGGTCTCTCTTGCGGCGTCGAGCCCTGGTGGGTTGCAACGTCTAGAGTTTCTGCCGGCGGGATTGAAACCTTGGCTCGAACACGATGTTGTGGGGGTTGCCTACCCTCGTAGAATAGCGTCTTGAGTCCCTCCCTATCTCAATACCAAAAAAAAAAATGAAAAAAAAAATTATAGGCTGCAATTTTGACCACAACCACAAATGGCCAATTTTAATATTTTTTTTTTCCGAGAGAATATACAATGATTTTGTTGTTAAAGACAGGAAAATAATTATCATTAGTGTCGTCAACTTTCTTCGTAGAATACCTTCATACAGATTTAATTGGTCTTAAATATCTACTCCGTGATTATTATATTTCTGTTGATATGAAGATGCACCTTATTTTTTACACAATATTGGTTATTTTTCGAAAAAAAGTCCATTATATTGAGCGTAAAAATAATGGTCACTATGTTACCACTTTAATAAAAAAAGTCTCGTACAATTTTTGGGATAAAGTGATAAAATGCTCACATAGGTAAATTAATTTTTTTGACATGGAATGATTAATTTGTGACATGAGAGGTCAAATTCCTACGTGGGTATATTATAAATAATATCAATTTTATTGATATTGAATTAATTTCTCATTGATGACCAACACTATAAATGAAGAGAAATGATGATTCAACGAACCCAATTTTCTAAATTTCATTCAAAAAAAAAAANNNAAAAAAAAAAAAAAAAAAAAAAAAATCCTAATGTGAGAAGATAATCTAATCCCTAAAGATAATTCATTTCAGTCGCTTAAAGAAATCAAAACGGAATATTGGGCTTTTGAGAAAATTGTCCTTATACTTTTTTCCTTTACAAACAGTTCCTATTCTTTGAGCCCAATGTCACATTCTTGTCAAGATCAATAGTACGAAATTGTGGTACAGCCCAAATCCCATGCCCACTTTTGCGGAAATAATGACACCCTTTATCCGTTTCTTTAGAGATTTCACATAACTAATCCCACCTATTATTTAGATGAAACTGCCTTTTTCTGTTTTCATTTATACCTTTTTTTATGGACAATGT